AGCCTTGTCCCTAAGCTTGGATTCTCATCTCTTCACATAGAAGAACCTGAATAAATCTCTCTCATAAGCATCTTAGTCTTTTTCTGGTCTTTTCTTTTTATGAAATAACAACTTGATATTGCTTTTTAATGGCACCATCTTCAGAAACTCAAAAGACATGCTCTGAACATGGCAATACTGGAGATCACACAACAAGGTTCTTCAGTTCATATGTATTCATGTTTTTATCTAGAAGGAGGGTTACTAGACAAGGATGATTGCATTTGCTAAAGAGACATCTCATGAAGATCATATGTATTCATGTTTTTATCTAGAAGGAGGGTTACTAGACAAGGATGATTGCATTTGCTAAAGAGACATCTCATGAAGAACAGCAGAGTGCAGTGGTATAAATGTTCGGCTAAGACTAGGGAGACCCAGGTTCAGAGAGAGCCATCGCTGGTTTGGTAGGTCCTTGGTGTCTCTATAAGATGTTCAAATGGTTTGGAATTTGTAAAGGTTGGATCTCATGGGTTCTTTTGTATATGTGGGTCTTGGATGGAAGCAAAAGCCTGAGGTGGGGTCTCTGGAAGGGCCATAAGAGAATCAGGTTGGATCAGACCAAAGTCCAGCCTGTCCAGCCTTTTGGGCTCATGACAGTTAGCAAGGTTGTTCTGGGAAGGCAAACAGCGGACACGAATGTGTTTTCTGTTTTATGAATCCAGCCCTCTGTGTTTGTTTAGGGCAGAAAAGCCACAAAATGTAGAAGAAATGCGAGGCTCTGTATATGTGTACTTGAACATGTATGTGTATGTGTATGAGAGGGAGGGAGGGAAGGAAGGAGGGGTAACTGAACTCCTATGTCATAGAGAAAGAATGTACAACTGAAAATGTTAAATGTCAACGTTAATACATGTAACTGCTCTTTACCAAAATGGAACAATATATGTAAATAAAGCGTTAATTTCACTGCATCTCCAACAACATAAATGCCATGAGGTCATGTCTAAACTATTCTTTCTTGTTGACAAGAATATAATCTAGGATTTCCGGTGGTGGATCATGGCAGCTTAACCAATTCCTCTGGTTGGGATTCAACGCAGTAGTTGTGGGGCTTAGGGCAGAATCCCGGTAGCCGGCAGAATTCTCCGGATGTACAGGAGTATCCATGAAATCAACCCAGATGCTCTCCGGACAGCCGTTTCTTGCGAGGAGACCCCGGAGCAGACGTCTTTGTGATCGACTTGTGGTGAGTGGCTTGGAGAGGGGCCTTCTCCACCTTGTTCGAGGCTGTGGCGTAGCCGAAATTTAGGACACTAAAGCCGACCTCCCTGTTTCTAAAACACATTTGAAACGTTCTATTACTCTTTCAGATGAAGAGAGGTTTTTTTCAGCAACAGATAAGAGTATCTTCTAGGTGCTTTTCATAGTTTCAACACTTACTTAATTAAAAAAAACTGGTTTGGACTTTGGGATC